ATGCCTCTTTCTCGTCTCCTATTTGCCTTTTTCACCTGAACTCAAGGATTTGATCATGCCTGGAAGACTGCCCATTCTAAAGGAATGCAGAATGGCAAATGTCTCCATAATCCCCAGACCACTCCACAACTAATACCTTGAGTTTTATAGATGAAGAAGCTGAGCTGCAAGAAACTGTACATTCTACCACATCTCATGCATTAAGAACATAAACAGAAATCAACACATCCATTTCTAATAAATCCAGAGAAAGTGGGCAAGGAAGGGAAGCTTAGAGTGCTGCACTCCTCCCTACAAACACATTATGATCTTCTCGGGAAGGAAAAAAGTTGCAGAGTTTGCACTAGACAGCTCTTACTCTACCTCCACCTTAATAAAGAATACTTATCTGAAGCCCCTAATCTGCCTGTAACAGCTTTTCTTGCCTTTGCCATATGTCTAGACATTTTTATCCTTTTTATCTCTCTCTAGTTTTTTCAGCTGTTGTGTTCAGGGCAATGGCATTAGGACAAAGCACTTCTTTCACTCCAGACTATGCCAAAGCCAAAATGTCAGCAGCCCCCTTGTTCATGCTGTTTGAAAGAATATCCTCCATAGGTCAGCGCAGTGAGGAAGGAGACGAGTCTGTGAGTCAGCTTGCTGGGATGCACAGCCTAGCATACTTCTCTAATTTATTTCAAACCTGGTTTTCTTTTTTCTTCCTCCCACCCACACCAGTGGTACTGAGAACAAGCACTGTGTGAGCCCGTTCACATCTGAGTCTCATCCAACCAAACTGGGGTTAAGCCTTCCTTAGTGTCTTCCCCTGCCAAAACCTCACCTACCTTCTGGAAGAGCATCTTTAAGAGCCAGTGGAAGTAGGGTTAATGCAGCAGACATTGTTTTTCAGTATTTTCTCACATGAAGCTACCTGAGCACGGATCTCAAACATATAACCAGGCCTCTGGTATTTAACCAGAAATTTTTGAGGGATAACTTATTTGCAAGTTGTCCATAATAGATTGTCACACTCTTTAGTAACTAACAATGGATATGAACATATGGGTGCATGTGGCCTGCCATGTAACAGAGGACAGAACGTTCCAGACAACTGTCACATATATGGCGTATGTCTTGTTTTTATTGTGTGTGTGTATATGTATGTGTGAGTACCTATGTACACATATATACTCACATAATAAAGGAAAATAGCTATGAAGTTTTATGACTGCATACATATACATTCAAGCTATTATGTTGATCGGTCATTTGCATATGTCTGTATCTACATTTTATATATACTCATTCATATGAACTATATTTCTCGTGTGGGCATATTACATTTTATAGTAAATCAATTAGAAAAGGTTTTCAAGTAGAAGGATTGACTCAATGTGCAGATCAAAAATAACAGATTATTTTCAGTATCTTAAAGGACAAAAATGAATAAAACAAACCCAAAACCACCAAAGAACATGCAAAGAATGTGAACAAGGCCTTGCAAAGCAGACAGAAGCCACCCAGAGCTATTGTTACTTTTGAAAATGTAATCTTTTTTAACAGATGGTGTAAGAGAAGCTGTCAGAATCTGTGGTTACAGAATAGAATTTTAATTAAAATATGCCTTCAGAGCAGAATATTTAGGAGAGGATGTGTGTTTTCACAATGACGTCTCCTGCTATAGTGCCATTAATTCCTGAAAAAAAAGTAGTCTCATCCTTTGGGAAAACTCACAGCGATCTCTTCTATTAATGCTCTTCGTAGACTTTAATGAACTGTTACATTAGTCTAAAAACTTGACCTAACTCTACTGTTTCAATCAGAAAATATTTGGTAGAAATGTAACATTCAACAATGTGGCATTTAACTACCCAACCCAATCATTTTGCAGATGCCTGGATTGGGGGTGTCTTCATCTCTGCAGGAGAAGCCTCTGTTAAGAAAATAACCTGTGTGATACTGGTACTCAGGCAGGTCATTCTAGATGATAGAGCATGGAGCAACAGACATGCAGGAAGTACTGATAAAGTGGCTGGGCACTTCCCTTCAGTTAAGTGAAAGTAACAGCAAAGTGCGGATGCAGCCCAAGGAGCACTGTTCTTACCCTCCTTTTTTTCAGCATCTCATTAGCCAGGTGTGTCAAGTCACACATATACACACACAGAGCTGGCTTGGAAAAACAGTCAGAAACCAACATCACTGAGTGGGGAGACACTGGCACAGGTTGCCCAGGGAAGTTGTGGCTGCCCCATCCCTGGCAGTGTCCAAGGCCAGGCTGGATGGGGCTTGGAGCAACCTGGTCTAGTGGAAGGTGTCTCTGCCTGTGGCAGGGGGTTGGAACCAGATGAGCTTCAAGGTCCATTACAACCCAAACCTTCCTATGATTCTATACTCTTTTTCCTGCTTCTTTCTCTCCCTTTCCGTATTTATACCTCCTACTCGCACCTGTGACAAACTGAGTCACCAGTATGGTAGATCTGCTTGCTGCAAATCAAGGGGTTGCTCCGCAATTAAATACACCCAGAAATGGGTTTCTTGGCTTTGCTACTGTGTGTAGCAGCTCTGCAGTGTTCAGAAGCAATGCCTCAACTCTCGTCTCTGGCCAGAGAGTAGCTATTGCTTATACACAAACACCAGCATGCAGAGGCAGAAGGGAGGTAGCGATGTGTTCCTCAGCACAGACAGGATCAAAGCACTACTCTAGGTATGACTGTTTCTAAATAAATGCACGTGCAACCCGGAGCAGGGACAGAAGGAAGCCTGCTGGGACTGGCAACTGGCTCAGTCCCACCACTGCAGAACCCTGGCTCCTGTTCTCAGCTTGCCAATGCACAAACAGGTGCAGCCAATTCCTGGAAGCCCCTCCTTTTGTCTCATGCATTGAAAGCAAATTGTGCCTCTCTTCTGACAACAGGACTGCACAGTGTAACCAGCCTGGCCTGAAATCAGAGCCCCTCCTGCATTATGCTCCTTCTGCATTGATTACACATTTCCCTGAACCCACACAGGCAAAAAAAGAATCTGATCTGTTTAACACTTCATGCTTTAGTCCCATGTGGTCCATAGAGCATAAACAACTGAACCAAAAACACTTTACTCCTTACAAGAGGAAAATTAACATCATGCTCCTGAATTCTTGCATCCACAGCATGTATCAAGTAGCTCTAACAGCTCACGGAATTTCATTTTGTTCTCTCTGGATACACTTCTGTCTTCAGCTCCTGTAGGCAAAGCACAGACTGTCCCAGCTGAACAGGAAATTCTGCTTGTGCTGGCGACAGACATTTTCTCAGAGATACCCTTGCTGAGGTAGTTTTGCTTTTCCCCCATTTCTGCCAAGATTTCTAAGGTCCCAGAAATACCCAGAGGCAGCAAGAGGTATGTGGAAAAGAAATGCAAAAATCAATGCAAAATTACACCCTTCATCAGATTTCAGGCTGTTTCAAGAGAGTGTTCAAAACAAATTGTCCTTGTCATGGTTGCAACCAGGTTTACTAACCCAGCTGAGGGGTGAAAGGTTCTAACTGTCAGACAGAACTTAAAAAAAACAAACCAAAACAAAACCCAAATCCATCAGGCATAGCCTGATCCAAAATCCTCATCTATCCCACAGAAATTATAAAGACACATCCTTCACTGACCAAGAGATTTCAGAAAGTCAGTTACCTCTGCGAAAGACAGTGGGTTACTATAAACACTCCAGAACAGGAATGGATTCTTTCTCTGTTTAAAGTTTTGGAAGACCTCAAATTCAACCATTAAACAATGACTGGTTTTCAGTTTAAGTTGAGACAGGACATACAAGTAGTCCAGTAAAAGCAGGGAAGACAAAGGCTCTTTTCCAAGGCAAAAAGACATGATATAACACATCCTGGCCTGTTACTCAGAGAAGTCTCAGGCTTTGAGGAAGGAAATAAAGAGGGGAAACTCTGTTCTTGCTGCTGTGGGAGAAAAAAAAAACCAAACAAAAAACCAAACAAAACCCAAAAAAACCAGCAGAGCTTCCAGAAGGCAAAGAGACTGGCTCAGTGTTAGCTGAGGATGCAGTTGTTTCTGTAAATCAAGTAATAATCTCTGATCTCTCTCAAAACTCTAGAAACTAGACAGAACAATGGGTATTTCAGAATCTCAAGTTCAGCTGTCCCCAAGAGAATCCCTCTTTCACAAAGAGATTTGCTACACATTAAGCAGTCCACCATGAATCAATCAACGCAAAGCTGATTTTATTTCTATTTCCATAGCAGGAAAATACATAGCTGCTCAAACAGAGAAATCAAGTTTTAAAATCCTGAGACTTGTATCAACCTGCATTCAGTGCTTACTTGTATCGTCTATTATTAGTGTAAAGCAACAAACGTTCACTACAAGATGGAAACTGAGGGATCTGGAACTCATATGCTGCTTTTTGTCTTCATTATTGAGAGCTCCTTTTTCAAAATACTTCAGATTGAAGTGCTCTCTTACTTCAAATGTAGTGGGAATTTCCCCAGTTACAGATACAACATCTATTTGGTATAATCCCAATAGCAAGAATGAAAGATAATTTATAAATATAGCCTGATGGAGGCAGTCCTTCTATTTCATAAACCATTATCATTAAGAAGCATTATCACCTAAGAGGATAGTGTGGTTACTCTTAAGTACACAGTTGAGTGCTCCACTAGCATAAACAGGATCAGTAGACTCCCAAGTATTCTATTTGTTACTACTAAGATCACAAATCCAAATCTTCCATAAATTCTCCATTCCCAACACCCCATCTGTCACATATGTTTGCATTGTTGAGGCATATTTTAATATTGCATAGTTCCACCTAAGGTACTACTGCTTGCATTGTTGCAAATGGCTACATTATTCTTAAATGGGTACTGTCACTGCAGTAAATCCCATAAAAATAGGTAGATTTCACATAAATTGTTAAATGTCTTAACTTTCCTATAACAGTAATCTCAAGTAGCATTTCTCTGATACTACATATAACTTGTACTACATATAACTTGTGAACTTGTAAAGGCTTTTACATCATTATCAACCTTACAGCTGAGCTGTAACTGTTAACTGTATCATGTCCTGAAAACACTGGTACACAGTTCTACACAGCACTTCTGCATCAGTCTCCAGACAGGATTTCCAGGAAGAACAGGTAGTAAGGATCCTATCAATACAGAAAAAAAAGGAAGTTACCACTCTTAGTTCTCATGGTCTAGGATAAAAGTCACACAAATTGCCCTGAAATGTGAAATTACGGACATAAATCCTGACGCAAACTGTTGCATAAATACGCTGTCTCAACATTCAAAGAGGACTCAGATACCTCACACCTTCAGAAAGGAATACTGTTGATAGATCTTGAAACTAGACACTTTGATTTAATATCCATTTCTACACACATGGTGACAGAACTTTTCCACTTATATTTGAAAATACTGTGAATTATGTTTCTTCTCTGCAACTAGTTCAGGGTTTAAAGTACTTTTTTTTTTCCTATTTACCTAATAAAAGCTAAATCTTTATTTAGTTCTATTTATCTTAACAGAGACATTGTCAAAGTATAAGTGGTTTGCATTCTTGGACTGAATCAAATCTGCACACAATACGTATTTAGCTTTAGGAACAAGTCATTCAAAAACATCTAAATCACAAGACAGGAAGTTACCTCAACACCTTATAATTGAAGTAGTTTATCAGATTTTATAAAGAAGCAGTAATTTTTGTCCACAAGACCAATAAACCAAGGTTGGATCTTTCAAAATCCTACCATTTTATGAGAAGTTAAGCCAAATGTTTTAGCTTCTCCTTGTTACTCAGAGAAGTCTGGTTTGAGTCAAGAGATGTGTGTCACTGCGAAGAAGGAGGGACAGTGTGCTCACCTGTCCTCTAACAGGTTTCAGTCAGTTGCTACTTTGCATGTTACATTTAACTATCTCCAAAATGAAAGCTTATTTTAAAGTAACTTCACCCCTTTTGCTCCTCCCTTCTTTCACCTTCACCACACTTTTCTTTCTAATTATTATCAGTATCTTGATGCTCACTTCATCTCCACCATTCATCCTTCCTCCCACACACGCTTTCCCAGAACGTTAATGCCTCTTTCTCGTGTACCTTGCTTCTCAACCTTTCCTGACACATTCAGCCATGTTTCTTCTGTCCTTTACTTTCCTCATTCTCATTTTTAGCTGCCTTTCCCTTTGTGACACAGACAGAACCATACCAAAATGAAATTATGTCTTTACCTGTCATCTCTGATGGAATAAAAGAAGCCATAGCCATGGTGTACCATAGGGACTGCACACCCAGTAAACCTGAAGTAGCCAGTCAGACTAGTCGAAAGAACGAAATTCCCACCTCCTCCGCTGTGAAACAGCATAAAACAAAAGCAGCACTTTAAAAGTTAATTTAAAACAAAGCGAGTTTTACAAAAAAGTTATTTTTTCCTAGGGATCAAGAAATCACCATGCGTATGGCCAGTGTAACAAAGACCTCAGTATCAAAGGATACTCCCTGATGGACAAGACTCTAAATTACCTGGCTGTGAAGGCATTATCCGTGTAAAGCTCTGGCACTGGCAGTCCTTGCTCCTGTGCTATGAGGAGGAGACCCAGAAGATGACGATCAAAGCCTGTCAAATAAATGCAAAGACTGCATCATTAACAGCAGCATTTCTGTTTTTCTGCTTATTCTGGTCTGGGTAGTTCACATACCATCTGAAGGACAGATAAGTAGCATACAAAAATACTTCCCAAATACCTGATCTAATAGGCTTTCATAATTTTCAGCTTGCAACACTGAGCCCAAATGCAAATGAACTAAGTAATACAAACCCAGCACATTTCCTGTGGAAAACAAAAACCAAGAAAACTTGGTTCTATGCAGTGAAACTGGCCCAGTGGCAATTACATGGGCAAGGTGAAAAGGCTTTTAGGGCCACAGCTGCATAGATAAGTCACCAAGTAGGATGGAGAGAGTATGAAGGTTCATCAGGTGATTATTTCCCAGCTACTCTCTCATTCACACAATAGCTTACCACACTAACACAGGTGGCTTAGAATTTTACCCAAATCTCTCCTCTGCCTCAAAAGGCCGTATTTCCCACTTTCCAGCCAAGCATATATTTGATCAGAAGGTATACTGAAATAATGTTTAGCTGGTCAGAAAAAGTGAATTAATAGTCAAAGTGAAGTTGTATTTGGGGTACAAGAAAGGGTGCAAGGACTAGGGTTATTTCCTCTCCCAAAAATTGAAGTATAAAGTGTTAAGGGGTAGTTTTTACTTGGGCTGAAAACAAAGAAAGAAAATGTATTAGCATACACCAGTATTCCCATTCCAGAAAACCAGATTTTGATCACAGAGTACCTCTTCCATTCTCACAGTCTTTCCTCATTTTATTGTGCTTTGCAAATGCCTTATGCATCAGCTGCAGTTGTTGGTAAGTCTGTAAAGTAGGGCAGACAGGATTAAAAACCAAACAACTAAAATCCCAACACTCAAACAAAATAAAACCACAGCCACAATCCAGATTAGTAACACATTAGGAATCACAGATCAGCAAGTTTTTCCCTTTCACAGTTTCTAGCAATTTTAGATAGAAGAAAATTGAGAAGCTAGAAATGTACATTAGAACTTGTCTCAAACTATTTGTCCCAAATCCAAATACCTCTGTCAGGAGAACTTGCCCATTTGTTTTCCTTGTCTCTGTTTTGTTACTCTGATCACTTTTGCACTGAACAACATCCTACAACTCATGCTCCTTCCCAAACAAGCTGGAACAATTGCAAGTAACCACTGTGAACTAGAGTAATCAAACCCCAAAACTTCCTGCAATACCATTTATTTAGAAGCACACTAGATTTTAGCTGGTGCAGTTGCATTTATACCATTCACCATGCCCTGAACTGGTCAGGCAGTTGGACTAGATGATCACTGTAGGTCCCTTCCAACTGAAATATTCCATTCCATTCTATCATTTTTTCCATGACAAAAACAAAAAGCAAACCAAAAATCCCCCAATTAAGAAAATGTGATGCAAAAAAACCAGAAAACAAGAAAGACCCTAACTAAAAAACACAGAGATACCAACTGCATTCCCAAATTTTCTTTGCTGATTGAAATACTACTTCTATGACAGTAGTTCTGTCCAACATAATGGTTTGGTGTCTTTTTTCAATTTTATATTGAAACTTCCATATTAAAACCAGAGAGAACAGAATGAAAATATGTCTTAGTAAAGGAGGCCTAGAGAAGCAGCTCTAGACACCCAAGATCTTGAATTCTGTGATCTTGGATCTTACTAGCTCTTTAACTACTTAAGACGCACCCTTTATCCTTTTATTCATTACACAAGAGGCTGCAGCAGAGAATGTGAAACAAAGGCAGGAGCCGCTCAATTTGGATGAAAATCAAGCTGCTAGGATCACAAAGGGCAAGAGAAAAGTTGAGACAAAAGGACTTTTTTCTGAAGTGTCTAACTTTAGGTATTTTCTAGTACCTTAAAGGTAGACTTTTAAGCATCCTAACTTCAATACTATTGAACAGATTTAACACTTTCTTTAAGCCTCAAGAGTTCATCATAAAAAAAATAGCAACAGGAAGATAATTGGAAATACTAGTTAAAATTACAAAGATAAAAAGGCTATAGTTAGTGTTGGAAGTAACAAACCTCTAGGTGTATTATCCACACAAGTGTGTAATCAGTTAGAAGGTAACTTAAGTGCAACAGGAAAGCAGTTTTGAATAACAGCCAGAAATTTGAATTTTAAAGCTGCAGCAGATGCAAAAAGTAGCCAGTGAAGACCAGGAAAACGTGCTCTTGAAGACTGTAATTACTGATCACACATACTTCCTGACAGCTGTATTCCTGTATGTTTTAGATGCATTAATAACATAGAACCTTTAAATTTCCTATGGACACAGAGCCCTTTGTATCAAAAATCTTCTCCTTGCCTCATTTCTCAGGCTCCAAGAAATGTACAGTGAGGACAACAGAAAGCATTAGTACAGCTCTCACTTGGCAAGTAAAGTACAACATGCTTTGCCAGCCAAGCACCAGAGGGTAGTTGCTGGGAAAAGAAAAGGTCACCAGTTCGGCTATTCAGAGACAAAATCTGGAATGCACCCCTGTTGTCACTAGGACACAAACGGATTTCAATTTGCTGTAAGACTCAACTATTAGATTAACATTTCCTGATTTCACTTGAAAATTAAAACAACAGAACCACTCCACAGGCAGAATACACTGGTTCCAAAGCAGTTACGGGGGGGG